GCATTTTGCAACTATTACAGAAAATTTATAAAAGACTTTGCTAACATACCACAACCACTAAACGATTTCCTCAAAAAAGGAAAAGACTTCGGCTGGACAAACCAATGTAATCAGGCATTCCTAGAACTCAAAAACAAACTAATGTCCCCATCCATATTACAATATCCAAATTTCAATAAACCCTTCATTTTAACAACTGATACATCAAATTACACCTTAGGAGCAGCACTATCACAAGGAGAAATAGGTCAAGACTTACCATACGCAAGCAAATCCCTAAACAAACACGAAAAAACGAACCAATCATAGAAAAAGAACTACTCGCAATCCACTTTGGAATAACACATTTCAGACCCTATTTATTCGGCAAAAAATTCACAGTGATAACCATTATTAGCACTATTCTCCCACAAAAACCCCACCTCTAAATTAACCAGAATAGGAATAGAATTATCGGACTACGAATTCAACATAAAAACGGTTCAAGCAACAGTAACGTTGACGCCTTATCAAGGATAAATATATATTCTGATATGTTAAAAGAGATGATTCCAATATCCAGAGAAGAAGACCAAGAACGGATAAAAAAACACTAGTAATAACCAGAAGCAAATCGGCAGAAGAAAACACACACAATGAACAACTAAATATGTGGGAATGCACGTCAATAAATGACATTAAGAACACACGAAAATTAGAATTCAAATTCGAAAGCGGTATAATAGATATGATAATTGAAAATGTTAAAGAATTAAACTGCACGCGTGTGAGATGCAATGAATATCCAGACCATTTCGCTGCGCTCTTGGAAAAATTGACATCAAAACTAAACAAGTTAAATTGCTTAGACTATGCATTAAGTCTACATGATGATATATTTGAATACATATCCAAATATTAAAAGAAAAATTCAACAATATTAAAAGAAACCGCATAAATATACTATTATACAAAGAAAGAGAAAGAATATATGATGATGAAGAAAAGTGCGAATTAATTGTAGAATACCACACTAGCCCACACTCAGGACATTTCGGAGTAAGAAAAACATTCCAAAAATTAAACCAAAAATACATCTGTCGCAATATGTTCAAGATGATAAAAAATTATATAAAACAATACCACATTTGCCAAACAAGCAAACAAACCAAACATACAAAAGAACCTCTCACAATAACAGATACACCGTCCACATCTTTTGAAACACTAAGTATAGATACAGTAGGACCAATAAAACCTTCCAATAATTTCCGATACATATTAACAGTACAATGCGAATTAACAAAATATATAATCGCACATCCTGTTGTAGATAAAAGCGCAAAATCAATTGCCAAAATTTTAACAGCAGAGGCCAAATACGGCCAATTTAAAACATTAAAATCTGACTGAGGAACAGAGTTCAACAATAAGCTAATAAAAGAAATTTGTCTATTACTGAATATCGAACAAAAGTTCTCAACCCCCTACCACCACGAAACCTTAGGTACAGTTGAAAGAAATCACAGAGTTCTTAACGAATACCTTTTAACCTTTGCAACAAACAATGATTGGGATAAATGAATACCATACTACACTTTCGCATATAACACTACCCCTCACTTAGAAACACAATATACACATTTTGAACTGATATACGGAAAATTGCCATACATGCCCAACGAAACAATATTAAATTCAAATCCTACATACAACCCAGAAAACTACATAAATGAGCTAAAAAGAAAATTAAAATACTCTTTAGAAAAAGCTAAAAGATTTTTAGAAAAAGCAAAAGTAACAAGAACACAATTATCAGAAGAATATTACACAAATCCAATCGATATAAACATAGGAGATCAAATATTATTAAAGAAACACAACAGGAAAAGATTAGATAAACCCTATGAAGGACCCTATGAAGTAATAGATATAGAAGAACCCAATGTCACAGTACAAATTAAAGATAAGCCAACAACTGTACATAAAAATTTAATTAAGAGATACAATACAATAAATGTAAACTAAATTTAAGAAATGAACTATTATAAACCAAACCTAGTTAAGCCTAAAAATACAAAACTATAAAAATTTAGAACTACAAACCAAATATAATTAAAAACTAGGCATACAAAGCTATCAATAAACACTAAACGCTTAAGAATTTACTTAAATTAATCAAAAAAAAAAAATTACTTTTCATACCAGAAAATTGCTAACCTCTATCAACACATTATCAATTTTCTCTCTTAAACGGTAAGGGTGTAGTGTGATCGCATACGATCGTATGCATCCACTTGAAGCGTGACAGAATTATGCGAATACAGCATAATCCTTTTGGTAAAATAAAAATAAAATTTATGTCACACTTCACCAGCGTCAATATTGCATTTCGTAATGCAATACGATGCCGCATGTAAACAATTATAATTCTGGTTAGATAAGAATAATTTAATGTAAAAATGAAGTATAAATTGTGCCAAAGAAAATAAAGAAATTCAGTTGTTATCGAACAATTCAACTTAGCGTTTAACTCGCTGAAAATACAAGGCGTTCAATACGCCTGAAGCATAGAGATTAGGGACCGTCTTATGCCGAGACTTATCGGCATTGTAAGAGACGGAAAGACTTGGCGCACTAAAGCCGAGCAGCTTAGGGTTAAACATCCTTACAATATCAACTGACCATCCATATACATAGCTAAGGAGCTAAAATGCGACACATTCATCTACCCTTAAATTTTAAGCTATTACATCATCTGCATAGACTGCTATAATGGCCAAGCTTAGAAATAAATGAAAGTTAATTGGACCAGAAAAGCCTCATACATTCGGATTACTACATCTTCGGTAAATTGTCTTTGAAAGCACAAAAGTAACCAACGATGGTAAAACAGTAATTCCAAAGCATGGCTACGCTGTTTTAAATGTTCATAGAACAGCGGAAGCAGAATGCGTATCAATTCACGGTCGATTAAATTTTTTTTAAATTTCATTAATAAAATAAATAAATAAATATGCATTCATTCACATATCAATATAAGTTTTTAGCAAAAAATTTCGTACAGGATGAAGAAACATTGAAACATAAACAAAATAAAAATGTTGCGGGGAGAATTTTTCCGAGTTGTTGTTTATTTTCATAGGAAAAGGGATGGATTTTGTTTACATTCATAGAAAGATGTGTAACTTTTGGTCATTTTGTTCATTTTCACCGAACAAGTTGCAGCTTTTATTCGTTTTTATCGAATAAGATGTAGCTTTCCTTTAGATACGCATCAAGTTTACGTATGTAAGCAACATACAATTGTGCAAACGCGGGCTTCTATTTCAATGCTGCTAAGAATTTTTGGATTTTCTGTCGAACTAAGGCCTTTAGAGCCTTTTGTTACAGAGTATTTGACCAGTGACTTTCGCAACTTAACTAGCGAGTAATTAGATCGCTTGGTCTACTATTGTTTACAAATCAAAGGGAGGTACAGCGAATTCAAAAGAAAATATATGAAATCAAAGAGAGGAATAGTGAATTCAAAAGGAAATATATGAAATTGTTTACAAATCAAAGAGAGGTATAGCGAATTCAAAAGAAAACATATGAAATTGTTTACAAATCAAAGAGAGGTATAGCGAATTCAAAAGGAAACATATGAAATCAAAGAGAGGTATGGCAAATTCAAAAGTAAACATATGAAATTGTTTACAAATCATAGAGATTTCACAAGAAAACATACGAAATTTTTTACAAATCGAAAAGAGGTATAGCGAATTCAAAAGAAAATATATGAAATCAAAGGGAGGTATAGCGAATTCAAAAGAATACATATGAAATTGTTTCCAATTAGTTTTGATGCTCCTGTTTATTGACATATTGCGTTATAAACCAATTATTATCTATCAGCATGTGCGGGTATTGTCATATTACTTTGGGCGGGCAAAATATGTGAATTACTTATAGGACAAATTTTCTATGGCACATTTATGGCTAGCGAGGTTGCTTATTATAAATACAATACATTACTCTTAAGTAGAAAAAGAACACTATCAAATCGTTACAGGTCGTACATGCCGCTATATTATGCGGAAGAATCTTGGCAGGAGTATTAGCGTAAATATTAATATTAATATTCACAGAAAGCATGAACTACCTCCAGCTACATTACATATCATTCGGACTGCATGTGCTTAGATATTTGCGTATTTGAACGCCATCAGGGGTTTAATTAGAAAACTTAAATAAAGACTATAAATTCCGAAAACGTTTTGAACCGAATTTCACCGCTCTTAACCGAGAGAGTGAGACTTTTAAAAAAGCAAAGAAAACTCTTCCAGGGCGAGAAATTTATTATTGTCATTAGCATTGGAATAGTTTTAACATTAGACTCTTTCTACCCTATGAATGTAGATAAATTTGATTATTAATATGATGGGATGCTGTCTTGATGCTGAAATTTTGCACAAACCATCAATGGCCAAAGAAAGGGATGATCTGCGTACCTGTATTCTCACATTGTAGAAGAAATTTATAGTTGATGGTTTCTAGATAGATTTTATCGGTTAGAGAGTAGTTCAAAGTTTATTAAAAGTTTTTTTCTTTTTTTAAATTATAGTTGAACAAAGCTTGTGCCTCTGTATTTATAAATAGAATATTCTGTAAATATTTTTAATTTAAACGGATTTAAATTTATTCTTAAGGTTTTAAATCAGATATTCTGTAAAGAAGCATTAATTATGTAGATAGAAAATACAATATTAATTGTGTTAGGAAACTGAAATTGTCTCTTCGATATCTACGCTCTAAGTTCTTACATTTTTCTCACCTTATACTTATTGCATAAATTATCTGAAATTAACTTAAAATATATTGTAGCCGCTTATTGTTATTACTTTGACTATTTTTGATTATACGTTAATTATATAACAATTTAAGAGGAAAATTTTCATTTCTTAACCCTTAAAACAAGTCCTTTTTTTGTTATATTCGTTTTTACTTTTTTGAACGAATAAGAAACGTAGTTTAATCAATTTTTCTCTTCTGGTTGGCTTTGCTTTTTTTTACAAATAATTTTTTTTTAATTGTTATATTTAATCGTACTTAAAAGATGATGAACTCATAGAATTTGTTGAATTTGGTGTACTAACGAACGATTCCGCTCTGTAAGGTGAACCTAAACATTTATTAATAAAATTACATACGTACTGTACGTATTTTGATGGATACTTTGTAAAAATTTTTACATGTTCGGCGTCATCGAAACAAATCGAATTTACTTCAACACCTTGTTCTTGTCGTATTTTAATAAATTTTTCAATATCCTGTGGGAAAAATATAATTTATCATATTTATTGTATTAAAAACTTCTGATAAATTACGGTATATGGGATGACAGCATCTCCTTTAGAGTATAAAAACAGCTGAGGAAATTCATTGGGTTCGTTTTTTAAATCATTGAAGGGATTCGTTTGTATTGGCTCGGTTTTAACAAATAAACTTTTAAAAGCTGAGTAGGCCTCCTGCAAAACAAAAGCAGACGCAAATATTTTACCACTTAATATAAGTTTTGTTACCTGGTACTATAAAAATAGCAGTGTTAGCCTATTTTTAATATCATCGAATAAGCATTCAATGGACTCTGCGTTTCTAATCAATCTGAGATGCTGAGTCGAAAAAATTACTATGCTTATTCCTGTTTCTACTGTTTTATGAGGAATTTTTTGTGACTGTAAACCGTACTGAAATTTTTTGCTGATATCATCTATTAGAGATGAACGGATAGACGAACTTGCTTAATCGTATTCCGAAACTGGCGCTGGTCCAGAAAGGACTTTTTGCATCCCATAAAAGTTTGACAAAAAATGAAAATCTGATACACTTTTATTCATGAATAGGTATGGCAGTTCTTTCCTATTTTTAGACAGGAACTGCAGTTTATAGAATATATGCTCTAAGTTTTCTGGGTTTATATCCTACGGTTTGTGAAAAATAACAAATTTTTTTCTCGTTTCTCGGTTAACTCTAGACGTGTCCTCCGACTTGCGTGCAAGAACTTTCAATGTTTCCAATAAACGTTGAAGCTGATAAAACACATTTGTCATCGGTAAAAGAAATCCTCAGAGACCCCATAAAACATATCTTTCATCGGTACCACATTCAGAATTGATATAACGATGTCCCTGTATCCGTCTGTGTAATGTGAGCTGAAAACTCTCTCATGGATGCAAAAATGAAAGCAAAAACTTTAAATTTTCAGAAAAATTGGTAAGTCTTGCACGCAGGTATTTAAAACGGACCAAATCGATGGAAGGGCATGCCTACGCCAGCAAGTAATGCAGCAACACCTCTGTCTTCCAAAAGGAAACAATTTGTTTTTTGCTCATTACTCATAAACTATAACAGAAAAATATATAAAAATTGAACGTGGGCGATGATGTAGTAACTAAACAAGAATGGAATTATTATAGTGTACCAAACTTTCCATTTTTTTGTTAAAATAATGTCCCATTACCTAATTATAGCTTCAGAAGTTGTAATCTTGAGACAAACGCGAAAAAGCTCGAAAATTGTAAACTATAAGAGAGGACTCAATCACTTCATTCGCATCATAAAGTATAGCATCCCACATTAGATTTGTAATACCAAAAAAATCTACATCTAAATCTACATATAAAGCAGGTTGGTTTGACCAACATTAGATTGCGATTTTATGTGGCCATGAATATTGTAGAATCAGTTGTAGTTGATCACTCTAAAATAAATCGAGTCCAGTATTTGGCTAAGACAGCTTCTATTTTTTATTAACAGAGAAGTTTTGATTATTAACAAAGAACCCTGCAAATCCATGCCATCTAAGTATGGCAAAGCAACTCTATTCTCTCTCTATTGTCAAAAAGGAAAAAAAAAACCTAACGGTTTATTCATGACAACCCAAAGCAAAGAACCATGGAAATTTGCAAGTTTGTCAAGTGAATGATGATATAGTTATTGCTGAAAAGCAAAAAAAAATTCATTTAAAAAAAGTGAAAAAAAGACAGAAAACACTTCTATTCAGAATTGGCAAAGAACCGAAGAATTTTGAACGTTTGTGCTATAAAATATGTTAGTGTTGATCCGTTGATTTAGCCATTAATCTTTGAGACAAAACAAGTTGGCAACAGGGAAAAACCTGTAAATCACCGCCTACACCAGACGTCAATTTAAAATTCGGTAAAAATATTTGTAAATTGATACGGTGTTAAGTAAAAAACCACTTTTCACTTTTTATACATTAGCTTTCCTCCGCCTTAGCTATACGTTTATATCGTTAGGATCTAATGGCGCCTTTTACTCTATAAAATGTTGAACCTGTTCGCTACATTATATAGAACTGTAATCGGACGCGTTATTGATTTCTTTCTTACTTACCTCTGCGAACCACATAAAGCTTAATGTTAACGTAATTATGACCGCTGTTAAACAATGGCATTTTTTCCGCTCTCTGCCATAGATAGCAGTAACTGCCCGATACAGGCCCAAGATACGACGTTCACCTGGTGCCGAGTCTATAATCATGCCTCGTATTTTTAGAGGGGTTTTATTTCTTCGTGTAGCCAATGATATGTGTTGGTATAAATAGGCTCCGCCGTTTGAAAATATATGAAGTATAATCGGATGTTTATGCATGTTCATATCTTGCACAAGTTTCAAGATTTTTTCGCCAATTGGGACCATTTCAGAGCGTCGCCAGAATAAAGTATCAACGGGTGCCGTGTAACGTATAGTCATCAATCTGAAAAGCAAGAAAATAGAATAAATTCTTTCCTCTGGAGTTCATAAAATTATTTACCCCCTATCTTCGTAGATTTTTGAGTATTTCATAAGATATCGGTCCTGACAACCTGCCCAGCCTAGTAGCATAACAATGGGTACATATTTATCATTATGAACAATCACATTTTCATCGGGTGGAGCGATGCTAACAGCACTTCCCGTACTCTTATTATATTCAAACGAAGGAAACTTAATGTAAAACTCTAGAGAATCACGTCGTTCGTTCGCATCAGCAAAATTGTTTTGTTGACTTTCCGTTAATGTTTTCCTTCCTGTAGCAGATTCCGAACGTCTACTAAAAGTGTCAATGTTTTTGTCATGATGATTTGTCTGCATTTCGGCTAATCGATAAGAATTAACATTTGTTGTTGAGGCCATTCTTCTGAGAAAGATAAAAGAGAACCTTTTAAGAAATAGATGAAAAATGTAAGCATAAATTAAACTATCAAACAAATAAAAAATTATTGATCGACATATTTTGCATAAAAGATCTGTACATGTGTGTTTTTATTTTAAAGTACTTTAAACCGGGAACATAATAAATTTCACGAAAAATGAAATTCCATTAACCGGCAACGGAAATCCGAGCGAAGTTTTGATTTTTTTTTAACTACCATGGAATTAATGAAAGGTATGACAAAAAGGAAGGAAAGAAAAAAGTCAATAAATTATTCGTCGTTGACTAAAAAATAAATATAAGCAATAAAACACTTACGCTATATTAGTGATTTACTTTTATGCTTTTCTTCCGTTCCTATTTTACTTTATAGATTTATTAATCTATTTATTTTTTGTCTTCCAATTTCCGATGTATATAAAAAGATTCTTGACCTTCTTGCTTTTGGTTATTTAATCTTAAAATCGTTATAATACCGTTATTGTACATTCGTCATGAAAGAGCAGGAAGGCGGTGAGTATAGTATAGGTATGCAAGCAAGAGGAAGTTTGAAATCAACACATACCGCAATCATCTACTTTTAGCTTATGTGTGCCAATAAATTGAGCCGTACGGGGAATTTAATTGTAATCGTGATTTTTTCTTTGGGTTGCAAGTTTATTGAATTGTTGATTTTTTTTCGCTTCTTCTTCTGATTAATTTTTTTTTTAATATTTCATTTATTTTGTTTTCTAAATTGTGTTTGTCATCGAAATTAACTACTTAAAAATGTGTTTATGTAAGGAAAAAAAACAGAGACTTGGAGTTAAAGTGAAAAATTTTTAATATTTTAGGAAAGACATGCGCTTTATGGAGAAATGTTGTAGAGAATACAACTGTGTATATAAGTGTTTCACACACTGTTGGGGATTCTATCTATCAGGATTGTTTAGAACATCTACCTTGACCAAGCCCTATCACAACGTATCGCTGGATTATATCGTATTTAGATTATTGCTTATTGGAAAAATTTGCCATTAAACCGAATTTTCGTGACATTGTTTACTAATTTTTATATAAAGATATTGTTCCATTTTGATAGTATTTTGAAATATTCAGAATTTAATGAATACAGCCCGTTCATCGTGCATAGATATAAATTATAGAAAACAAAAATGGAGCATTACGGAGATATGTGGAAGGTAAAAACGAAGTACCTTTGATAAACGGCATCACGAACTTTATCTCTTTGTACTTTAGAAAAAGAGCAATTTATCATCTTTCCTTTCTCTGTATGAGGATTCCCTATACGCTTTCAATGAACTAAACGAGTAATTGTTCATTTGCGGTTTGAGTGACTTCACCACCTTGTTTTACAACAAAATTATTATTGAAGTGTTTTGATGTGATTATTCTTTGGGAATATGAAAAAAGTTAGACAAAATCAAAAAATTATAACAAAGAACAAGATTGTATCCCTTAAACAAGTTCGTAAAAACTGCAATTAGCAACTTTAAAAGATTTCTTGCTTACTCATGAAAACTCCCGTACTCTTGTGATAAATTTATGGTAATCGGATAGAAATTATTTGGAAGTATTATTAAGCTCGATACGTTACGATACGTTGCCTCATCTCCTTCCAAGGCAGTACGAATATTAATTGGAAAGACATGGATACTCATAAGCGTATAGTGTAGGTAAAGATTGCAAAATAATGTAAAAGGGATCATTAAGCACTTACATTACATAAACCTCGCCACGTACAAATATTTCCCTTCTTAAGTTTAGCTTAAAGTATGTTGTCAGCTAACATATTTAATTAAATGTCAAATATTTAAATATTGGTGTCATGAATCATTTGGAAAAAAATTATGAAGCAAACTTTCCCGATAACATGAAACGCTATCTAATGCTGCAAGGTGAACGCCCATTAGTTAAAGATTACTTTACCCTTCCGTTTCATAACGTACTAATTACTAAGGAAAAGTTGATGGAAATCGAAGGGTTTTTGCTTTTTAGTATAGTACTTTGGCATATTTCGATGAAATTTAGTACGCTCATGTCTTTTCTTTCCAGGAAGAATATTGTTGAAAACCGGTCGGCTGGGACCACTTATTCTCTTATTTTGACAAGTCGTTATACGGATAACAGTAAGCTAGTATTGGTTTTTTTTGGGAATATTACTCTATGTTTTTAGGTTAGTTATTTAGTTCTCTCCTTTTTATTATTATTATTATTATTATTATTATTTTAATTTTAGACTAACGAATTGAATTCTTAGACTAAAAAAAGACCCACCACTAAGGTAAGATAGGGATATATTCATTTTTTTTTTTTTCATAATATATGTAATACTCAAAAGGAAGCTTCAGAGATCTTATAAAATATATATTTTCCTGATCAGCATGAAATTCTAAGTTGATTTAGCCATGTATTTGTTGTTGGCACTCTCTTGGTCGTAAAAATGCAGATATCGATTTCAAATTTCGAAGAAACATTGAAAGTTTTTTCACGCAGGTTTGTATTGAAAATGGGCCAAATTGGTAGAATCAGAAGCTTGCAGTGGAGCATAAACTGAACGTAACCGCTTTTTCTTAACAAAAATTTGTGTGTTTTTGCCCTTTACTCAAAAATTATAAAAGTTAGAAGGCTGAAATTTTGCACATTTACTTTACGAAAGATTCTACTCTTTACGTGCAAAAATGGGGAAAATCCCACACAAAGTTACAATTGATTAAACTTAATTTTTTTAAGATTTTACGTTTATTTTTTATAATGCAAACAAGGCAGAACGTTTAAAACTAATTTGCACGTTTCTCAAGTGGAGATATATTATCTGCCTAAAATCGGGTTAATTCTAAAATGAATATGGTAGACACCGTGATTAATTTTTTCTTAACGAGCGATATGGGTGTCAAATAAAATAAGTTGGTAAGTAGAATGCGAAAAGCAGAGCGGTGGAGATCCGAGATTCCGATCCGACCGAACATAGCTTTTTTACTTGTTTTTTAATGATAATTTAATGTTAACGAAAAAAATCAAATAAAAAATTAGAATGCGTAGACTCGTGAAAATGTTCGTAAAGATAAAAAAATTTACTATAATAAACCTTAAGCATGAGAAATGATTTCGCATAATATTAGATGATTGCTTCTTCGCAAACAATTCGATGTATTCAAGACTCAAAAAAATTATCTTGAACACGTTTCATGAAGAACATGCTTATCAGACCCTGACGACTACAGGTCTCGAAGCCATTCGCATTGTTTGTAAAATATGAGGTAGAAGCTTAGAGGCTTGCATTGGAGGCTTACGGTTCAATTAGACCTAATTTGTATCAACTACTGTCACACACGATGGCGTTAAGTTTACAGAGCTTACTTTGGGATAGGTAAAACACAATATTAACCAACTCCATGTTATCGATCTTGATGCAAACTAATCTTTATTTCCTGTCGCGATTAGATAACGTACCGAAGATAGTTAACTCATAATAAGCTTCTTACGTTCCGTTGGATATTTATGGTTGTGCTGCTATGATACGAATATTATTGAATACTTTCGAAAATTATTTTTTGGTTGTCTTGGCTTTTTTTCGTATATTTGGCTTGTGTCGCACTGAGAATTTTGTCTTTTAAGTCGTTTTGCTAAGGTAATTATTACAGGTATTGTGTGTGCTGTTCCTTTATAAAGAGAGAATAAAAAAAAGTAAAAAAAAATGTGAAAAAAATTGATAATTGGTATTTATATTATCCAGTATATTTCCCAATCCTTTTTTCAAGTTAACTGTGTAATAAAGTGACAACAAAAAAACGTTATGGCCATTTGTCGGCGGATAAATCACCACGAAAACAAAGAAAAATTCAGACATTAAAGGGCGTATTATAATGTCTTAATAATAGGTACTTTTTAACCCAACCTTCAAGAGACCCATTGTAGAAGTTTTTTTAATCCTATTCCACTTAAGTCCTATATTGAATGCTTCGTGAATGCTGACCAAAATTCATATTCTAATATTCCTCACAGACGCATTAAGTTAAACTCAAGCATACAGGCTTTAGCGTTACAAATAAACTTAAGTAGAAAATATGGAACGAAAGCACCGCATTTCGTTATATCCAACCTTCGCAGTCGTTTTCTTAGCAGGAACTTTATAATATCTTTCTTTCTTCTTCTTTAATTCTATGTGACTTTGCAACTTTGACAGCTGAGACACCATCAACAGGGAACAGCAGTCGTAAAAGCAGCATGTTTCTTACAAATAGATAAATAGAGATATTCGCATAAGAAGGAAATAGAAGCAAGTTACATATAACTGCTTACTGCCGATTTTCGTCCGAATGGCTGTAAATTTAATGTCGGGAAGAATAGGAAATTCAAATGAATAGCATTGTATTGCAGCAGATCTGGCAATTAAAACACCACCGCCACTGCGATCTAATCGATTTTTTCTGAAAAACTGGAAAGATATATGAAAATCGTGTTGTATAAAACTCAATTTAATTAACGCAAGAAATGCATTATGCAGGAATGTGAAGACAAGAATAGAATTAAAACCGAATTTCAGAAAAAATTAATAAATTAAAAGAGAATATAAAGCCGACAACCTTAGATGCTTTAAGACTATAGTCTTCAATTTATTCTCTGGCTAAATTAATAATAATAATAGTAAGAATAAAATAGAGTAACGGTTTGTTTTTTACGGAAATTCTCCGATAATTCGAACTGGAAGTCACACGTAAAATTTGCTACTTCAAAAAGGCGCAGTCTTAGATAAATTTTTCAAAAAATTTGAATTGTTAGAATGCTCTTCTACGAAAAACGTAAACTAAAAAGAACAGCTTTTAGGGGAACTGTGTCAATTTCCGCGTCAGATTGTACTTAACTGTAATAATAATACCAATTTTTGCAACCTAACGCAAGCACTTTATTTAGATTTAAAATCTGAAAATTAGAAAATATATTTTGAAAAAGATATGGATCGAAGTGAAGATAATGTGCATCTAAAACGTTGCATATCTTGATCTCTTCCTAATAATTTTATTACGGAAATATTGCTAATGAAAAGTCACATTCTATATAATTGATATCGCAAAACTTTCAGAACAGACAAAAAGCCATTAAGTTGATCAAGTTTCTAATCAAATATACGAAACACTTGACGAGCAAAATTTAAGCCCATCATGGAGGAGAATTGTTTGTTTTTATCAATTGTCAGGCGCAGGAAACTGAAATTGATCATGAAACAAATGAAAAAAATAGTTAAGTGTCTTCGCTTAAATTGAAGGAGACAATTTGAATACAACGGAGCGCCATTTATATTTATATATATGTATATAAATTTCGAAACAGAAAGAACTCGATTTATCGATTCGTTGGACACAAGTGTTCAATGAAATCATTACAAACTGAGATCAAACAGCGGAGACTATACTGTGATAACTAAATTACATCATAAAAAATATGTTTGTAAATATATACATACCCGTTATGTTCTCTGTCCATTTGGGGCGAATATGAAAAGAACTCTAAAGGAACTGGGAGTTTCATATGGGTATTCGCGGGCAGCAAGTGGGGAAATAGGAAAAAAAGCAACATCATTTTCTAAAAATTGAAAAACATATTCTTAATTGCGGATGCAAAAGTAGAGTTAAAAACAAAAGCAAGAATGAAGAAATAGAGTTGCAATAAAAGACGATTCTACTCATTTTGCAGATACCCATAAAATGGCATGTAAATTATAGATAAATAAAATGAATTCTTTGGTTATTCAATCAGTTGAGTTGAAAATAGGAAGCAAGTGTGTATTTTGATTATAATTCATGCAAGTAAAGGTAATTATAATATTGTAAAAATATATTTATATATTACTTATTTATTTTCACATTCTCTGCGACTGCCTCAACTTTTCCTTGGCTAGAAGTATTGCATTTGGAACGATTAACCCTTTGAACATTCTACAATCAACTTCAGAACAGAATATCAATTCAATATTTTACTTTTTTAATACTACTAAGCTCATTATCTAATATCCATTTATTTAAATTAGAGCCGATAGCCTGTGGTGCTAGTGCTCAATGTCTCTTTTTTTAGTCTAAGAATTCAATTCATTAGTCTAAAATTAAAATAATAATAATAATAATATTTCTTCTATATTAGATAAGAAAAATTAAGTCCAAATCTCCACTCATCGCCTCATATAGGTGAAGATTCGCAATATGCTACAGGTAAATTTACATTTACCCTTTCTTATTATTATGTATAAATTATTCATTTGCTTTTTCATTTGCAGATTAAAATAACAAGCGCTTTAGCGGAATGCGACATTTCCATAGGCCAATGGTAAGTATGTCGTTATATTTATACGTAAATTTAGTAATTACATTGATGTACCTTTGCAGATATCAAGAAGATCAAAATATTAAGAAAGCGGTACAGCAGCGATCGTCGAATGATATGTTTTATGTATTCTATTTTATTTATATATATTATGTATGAACGGGGCTTAGATCTCTTTATTATTATTATAGATATTATATAAATATTTTATAAATATATTATAGTTTGAAGTTAAGTCTATAATGGTGTAGGCCTACAGGGGAGCCAGCGATTTAAAACAATTGACAACGCGCCTATAACGGTACCTCAAGGATAGCGTGGAAATCCATCTCATAGACTTGCTGAACGCGAAGCGTGTTAATTTGGTTGGAATATTGAAATCATCGATGCGTGGTTGACTATAAAGTCAACCATGCTTGCAAACTATGTCTTTTCTTATAAATTTTTAAGTTCCGGAATGGTTTGCTTTGTCGTACAATGCAATTTGAAGTCGATATATTTGCAGTCTTGTGATCAGCAGAGTGTCATCAACACATGTTCAGATGCTGAAGTAGGGACCGTACAGCAAGAATTATCACTGTAACACTAAGTGACTTGTGGCAAATTAAAGGCCACCAAGGCACTATGGGTTTAGACTTTTCGGCCAGGTCACAAATAAAGATCGTAATACTGTTTCAGAAATGGCCTTCATTCAAACCTACCTCTGCATTTTAAACGATGGAAGATGAACACAACACTACTCAACATCTCATTACATCTTTTCGCATGCTGATTTAACATGCTGCTCTTCACCACTTCTCTCTGTGTCTTGCTAGTTTGTTTTAGTTTGTCTGTATTAAAAGCTATTCGTAATTCTTCGACTTCATGATGGAGCACCATCAACAAATTAAGGAAAATCATCACAACGTACGGCGATAAAATTAATATACTGTTATGAAATTCGCTTTTGTAAGATACAGTCCGTATCACTGGATCCCGGATATTTTATTTAAGAGAAATACACTTCAAAGTTCTTTTATTTATAATTATATTTCTTTAAATACGGGATTATTTACAAATTATTTTTGGTAATACTTTCGACTCAAATATGCTTTTTCTACGCTGCTGTCTTTCACAAATATTCTATTTATATACATTTTTGCCTTCATATTACTACCACCTAATTTTATAGTTTCATTTTTAATTCATTAACCTGCTTTTGTTGGTAACCGTCTTCATCGGCCTGCAGCTGCATGACATGCCTGCGAATATGCACTTTGCTTTTACCTGTCTGCTTTTCCGCTAATTGCCTTCATCGGTCTGCAGCTGCATGACGCCTCGCGAATGTACATTTGGTTGTAAAAAATGACTAGATTTGGGATTTCCGTGACAATACTTTGAATACCAAGTCATATCGGTTTATTGAAGAATGAACAAGCTGATCGAGCGGAGAAGTCTGCTACTTCTGTACCTTAAAAGATGGATAATATCTCGGGAATATTGGACCTTCCAACCAACCAACCAAATGCACTTTCGCAGCGTATCATGCAGCTGCCAGCCGAGGAAAACGAGTACCAGAAAAGCAGGTTAACGAATTAAAAATCAAGCTCTAAAATTAGACACTAGTAAAATGATGGTAAAAATATATATAAATAGAATATTTGTGAAAAGCAGGATTAGAGAAAGGGAATATTTAAGTTGAGCAGTTGAAAGATAGCTAGTCTTGCCAAAAAATAAATTATGAACAATCCTATATAAATAAATAAAAGAACTTTGAAGTGCATTTCTCTTGAACAAAATATCCACGATCTAGTGGTACGAATCTTATAATAGAAAACCGGAAATTTTGTAAAAATACTATCATCAATACTACTTCTTTATTCACCTTCAATTAATTCTAGCATAACATCCAACAAATCTTGAGAAAATCAAGATAGAAAAATTTACGAAAATTCTCCATACAATTGCAACTCATCAATGGGTCTTAAAGAAGTCTTCTTCTCCTATCTGCAATTCTGGACAAATTCTCACAATAAAGCACATTCTTTGCGACTTTCCCTCATTAGAAGTATTGCATTTGGAACAACTAATCCTATGGACATCCTGGAAATCAACTACAGAACAATATTAATACTATGTATTACTTTATTAAAACTAATAGGCTTAATATCTAATTTTAGTCTCTGAAATAGCACCGATAGTGACCAAAAGTGAATGCTGACGAACAACTTGCTCAATGTGCAAATGTAATCCCCATCAAGCATCCCCATCAAGCAAAATGTTCTACAATTTTGTCTTAGGGATGGAATGTAACCATTTTTTAGTTTTTAGTTTCCTAGAAAACCGCTTTTTTGTGCGTTTTTCAGCAGAAAATTTTTGTTAAGAAGTTATATTGTGCATTTTCACAGCTGAGCATTGACAGATGTAAGGATAATATAAAGAAATATTTTCAAATATGTTTATGCAAATTTCAAACGATACGATATCAATCAAAAAAAAAAAAAAATGTAGATGTATTTATAGCGCATGCCTGTACTTCTGTCAAGTAATATTTTGACGAAAAATCCTTTAGAAAGAAGTTCGATAGTACTCTAATATTTGTTTTTACTTTAACTTTGACGTCATTGAACGCGATACTCGCAAGTATTTCATTCGTTTCAATTAAATAAAAGAGTTCTTTTTTCAGTATCGTAAATATTAAAAATGAAGCTAACATTGGGGAATTATAAATATATACTATTCCTGCAATTTATACTGTTATTGGCGGACTTAATGTTCAATTCTTTTACCTATCTCATAACATCGCAAAAATTGAAAACATCAATATTTATATTCTTGCAAGTGTTCGAATTCTTTATTTGCCTTAGTCTTATTTATATATTGAGAATTTATTTCATTTTAGGACGCAAGATTCTTTTATTATTATGGAATATGCATTATTCATCTTTATAGTGCATGCTACGTGTGTTTATGAGGTCAATATTTATATCAAATAAAAAGATGTTTCGGTAAATATTTTTTTTTCAGATTGGTGGTACTCAAATTATTCTGAGAAATTGTAAGTTGTTTTTAGCAGCGATATTAATATATTTTTTGCTGTCGGGTGCACAACAAATGAGTTATATTTATATGATGATGTATCCGAAAACGTATTGGCCTGAAGGGTTAAGAACGTTAACATGTATTCATCGAGCAGGTTAGTAGGCGATGGATGCCTTAAAATGTTTTGTTTTGTCCTATGACATTTAAAAATTTTATTTTTTATATCCATTGCCACAATTTTTCGGTCGTAACGTTCCGAATTATAAATCTTAAAAGTTAGGATGGTTTTCATAGATGCAAGTAATTCTCGACCGTTTAATTTGGGAGTTTGTTCGACTTTACTTCGAGTTTTTTTTGAGTTCAACATTTAAACGTGGAACTGCATTCGCTTGAACAACGTTTGCAAAGTAGGCAAATTGTCTATTACAGTTTTGATTGCGGCAGTTGTACTTGCATTGGGGGTATTTTGCGTCATTATGAAATTGTATCGATAACTGAATAGTTGAACGTTTAATCAAATGCCATCTTGCTAATAGTAAAACACGGAAGTGCAAATTGTGACGAGAATATTGAGAGTTTAGGCGAATGCTTATTGTGACTCAATATTATCGATTACGTACCATTAATAGGATTTGCATATCTTTGCGACGCGTTTGTAAGTTTAAGGGCCAGAAACGAACAAAACTACTTTAATTTAAGGATTAAGCCGAGTAACTTGTATACATAACGTAATAATGATTATAATTTATGTGTCCAACCAGGATTTTCACAATTGGGCAATTGTCACAATCGGTAAACTAAGATCCCCACTTAAATGTTGTCATTTTCATAAAAAAGAGCAACTTACGTCGACGTGTGAATGAACGACAGGGTCTAATCAATATCGACCATTTTAACGACAAGCAGGCTGCTTAAAGTGATATCCCTAGTTTTACTAGACTACAAAATTTTCAAGCTTTGTTTTCTGGAACACCAGAAACCCAACCCGACCTGTAAGTTCTTCACGAGTACAAAGTTGATCATCAACTCTCCGATATCAATTTGTCGTGTGTGTTTGCAAATACAGACATTCTTTTATTATTTTAATTTTTAATTTCGCAAAATTGATGAAGAAAACGAAGCTGGGCACATCACACGTGCCGCATCAATTAAACAATATAGTACACAATATAAAAGAATTGAACATTTCAGTTTTCGTAATTAGTATACGTGAGGCGTTTGTGTAAAAGTTTGACACAAAAATAATTTTGATTAGTTTACCAGAATGTTTGCAATTAATCAAAAATTTTGTGGATCTGGTGGATTTGCTTGAGGCAGCGGATATCCAAAATTCATCCCCTATGGAATGGATCCTTTTATTTACTATAGTTATATATATATATAGTTAAATTGTAATTCCTTTTCTTCCTACAGCTTCTTTATTCTATTATTTTTCAACTAAAAGAACGGCATTAACTTTATCAGATCCACGTTATTACGCTGAAAATATTGATTGGATTGCGGAACAATTTAGTAACAAATAAGAAGCGTAATATCATATTGAAAAAATATATAAATAATTATATAAAAGTTAAAAAAATTCAGATCGCTATAAAAAAAAAAGTTTGCATATATGTAAATAAAAATATCGTTTCAACTTTACTACTAAATAAAGAAATAAATTCCTTTAATAAAATTCAATTCAAACCATCATTAGTATAATAAATAAAATTGCTGTTCTTTGGAGAAAGCAATTTGCAATAATAATAATTCAATTCAGCAATGTTATTTCTGTTAGAGTCACCTTGTGTTCATAAAACAGGACTTACTTACATAGCCTTATAAAAGTGTTTCAGAGTTCTGTCACAACGTTGCAAAAACAATTATGAAAAAAAACTTCTTTATCTCTTATCTGAGTCAGTCACAGCACCAGAATGAGGTTCGGAATATAGTCGGTATTAACTTAACTAAAGATAAAGATGTTAGGGTGACAGCGCCACCTTCACCGCCGCCAACACCTGAGGAAAGAAAAAGCCTCAATCACCTGTAGCGACGAATGATATCACCTAAAAGGAGGCCAATCAATTTACTGTGGATTCCGAGGAATCAACGGAACTGCATCAAACGACTGTGCATTTAGAAATTAAATTAGAAACAGTGGTTTCTGGAAGCTCTCTTAACAGCTTACAACACGATTTGAAAGCAACCAAGAAATGGGACAACGTATCGAACAGTCAGGTTAGTATTAACTTCTTTGATCATAAGTATATCTCGTCGTAAATCGTTGATTTGTCTACAAAGTTTTTTTTGTAATTGCTATCATTTATCAAATCTCAGCAAATCCTTCATCATTTTTCATTCTTCCGAACTTGCCCGTAATCTACAAACGCCGTTTCTCAATATAAAAAAGCTGATTTTTTCTATCGCAAATGCATTGCCACTTCTAAGATCGTAAAAATTTAATACAAGAAACGCTATTACGCATTTGTAGCTTAACAACACTAATGAAAAGGAACAAAAACAAAAAGCGTTACTTAACGGCAATTTTCATTGCAATTGTTCATTTTCGCTATCTCTATTTGTAAGTTTTGATCTGCTCGAAAAGACTGCACAAAAGATGTTATTTCCTAAGAAACAAGAGGAAAAAAATCCTTTTGATGAAAAAAGTCATATTTATTTGAAGTTATTCTTAAGTTATTGTGTTTTAGTGTTTTTAAAAATTCGCTGCGTAAAATTTGAGAATTGTAAATTCAGAAAAATTCCATAAAAGCAAAAAATAAAAAGTTTACACTATAAGTTTAAAATGTCGTTTGTGGAAAAACTAATGGGACTACTGAAACAGAAACAGCAGCTCGCATTTTGTCAAGTGAAGAAAATGGCGTAGGTGCGATGTCAAGTTACGATGGTGATGATATGCAGAAATCAGATAAGCCTGAAAAAACAGAGACGTTCGAAGATAGTTCTAGATCGCCCTCGGCAACAATCATAACATTGGCAATGCATTGTAGTAGTTACCTGGCCTGGATGTATGTAATCAGATATCAACAGGCATGGACATGTTTACGGTAAAGCTCAAATTGATGAATATTTAATTCTGGTATCTGGGCGCTATGTATTTGTTGCAATGTGATCATCTTGTTTATTTCTTCATTCATGAGCATTTAAAGGGTGTGAAGAGTGCAGATCATTTCGAGAGTATGTAACGTTTTAAATATCTAACCTTTGCACAGATGTAATTATTTTCTTATTAATACCATGAACCTAACGCATGTTTTCCGGCCTGGCTCGTCGGATGGGTTGCGTAAACATAAAATAGACTCATGATAAGTTTCTGTTTCGCTACAAATTTTTAAAATAACATACTTACTATTAATTTTGAAAATTTTCCCGGTTAAATACAACTCTAAGCCCTGTCCATACTACTTCTCCCTCGCCCTTCAGTCACACCCAGGAAGTCTTACCAGTATTTTTTATATTAATAATAATAGCACATTTTTATTTTTCAAAGAAAGAAAAAGAAAGAGTTATAACAAACAGAATTTATAGGTAGATATTATTATTCTAATTTATAAATTAAGATACTCATTTCAAGGTCTATCTATCACAATTTGTAGGATATTTAAAAATTATTTATAACTAACAATGGATATACAGAATTCATTCAAAATAAAGGGAAAGTGTAGTTTATTTTAATTTAACAATTTACAAGAAACTTACCAAATCTAACAACAAATTATCAATTAACAAATTATCAATTTTAAATTTTTTGAATATTATTAAGACAAAAATAATACAAAAAAAAAAATGTCAATTATTGATTCGACGCCTCAGGGACACCACGCGCAAACCCAAGTTAAGTAAAAGGGTGTGAAAAGGAGTGTTCTTTTACACGAATTATTGATCTTTTCGTGTTTTTCACATTCTTTTACATTAGCTTGCTAATTTTTTAGCTTTGAGCTTTCGTGTCCTTTTTTAAATGTCACAGTACTCAATAATGTACGAAGAATTTGTTTGTCGTTTTTTTTTTTAAATTAGAACACTTCTTATTGTTTCCTTTTTTAACATTATTCGCTAACTTTTCTTTAATTTCAATGTATTCGCTTTTTTTTTTTTTTTAATATAAATGTCTCTCGTATAACATCCGCAGCCGACCAACGATTTAGCTAAATCAATTTACACCTTTTTGAAGTTTTTTTTCTTCATATGCTTTTCTTTTGCTTAAAAAAAGTTCCTCTCATTTTTCCTATTTTTTCCTAATTTTAAAACATGTATTTGCGATAATTATCCGCACAGGCTTGTTTCACTTTTTATGGTCCTAGCAACCTAGCGATCGTTGACTCCTGCACTCTGTAGTATACGTTCTCACATTCCACATTTTCCATTATTTTCTTCGTTAAAATCCTCTTCAAGGGGATTTCCAACTTTTTCACGAAAAAAACTCAATTTCCGTTCCCAAAAAAAAAACATTTTTTTTCGTTCTTTCTCAAAAGAAAACCAATCAATTACTCCCCTTTTTTATTGACAAAAAACCTACAGTGTCTATTACGAGTAATCGACGAAATAATAATCTAACCAATATACCTTCAAACAAGATAAGATGTATTTACTTTTCCAAGTGAATTGTCGTGTGTGCATCTGTATATATTACGTTTTCGTTTTACCTATAAATAAACGTATATTCTATGCGACTTCTAAAGTAATTTCAAGGCTTTGATTTTTGTTATAAGACAAATAAGCGTATTGTGAGTAAAATCGCAGAGAGTGAGTTGTAGATCACATTCAATTTTTTTCTTTGTTATTCTAGTGACCTAACAATTTTATATCTTATGGCAAAGTTGATGTCGGGATGCTTTTCTATGGCAATCTTTTCGGAATGCCAATATTGATACAATGTCAACAAGGCTACAACATAATATAACTTGTCGCTTTGATAAAATTAAATAAATTGATATTAAGTTCTCTCAAGATTTGCGTAAGATTAGATGGTACGAATACAAATCTTTGAATGTAGGGAATTTGTAATCATAAACGAACAATTTATTAAATCCTAAGAAAGTAACGAAATCGAACAAACATATCAGAAAGATTAAACGTTGGACCGTGGTGTTAAAAGAGAGGAGTTGAGAAGAAACGATGAAGTTTAGTTATTTAACTAAGTTACTGTAAATAATTTTTTTTCGTAAAAAGGCTTTCTGAAAATTATAAGTAATCTCGACGCTATTTTAATACTCGAACAAACGCGTAAAATTGGTACAAGATTTTGCGTACAGAATAAGATGTTTTTTCGCAACTATTTCCTTGCTTTCAAAAATTATTAATTTGGATTTCGTAATTTCAAAAAAGAATTAATGTGTCTATCTCTAATTTAAGTGCCTGATTTCTATTTTTATGATTTTGAAAGTTCCTGCAAGAGGTTACTATTTCCACTAAAAAGTTTATATTTACAGAGCAACATAGTTCTTATTCGGCTTTTGGTGGAAATTATGATGATTTTTATAGATGTGTAGTAAATTTTTTTACTATGTTGGATGAGTGCAATATTAGGCCGTTCTAATGGACGGCAGAGTAGTAGTACCTTTAATATTTTAAATGTTAATAACGAAAAAAATCTGTCACATACACACTTTACAAAAACAAAGTAAGGATTACATTAGATTGGAAGAATTATAACAAACTTTAATAATTACATTAAAGTCCATGTATTAGAAGCGTTATTTTGAAAAGTACTTATTTAACATGCAAGGCATTGCTAATAAATTAATCAATCATATGAAACTGCGAAATTTGAAAAAAAAACAAAGTAAATATTCGGGCGAATCATGTGTTTTAAACAATGGCTATCAAAGGCCAACAACCATTTGGTTGCGCAATACCATAATCAGCTGTTTTCCCAAGAAGAAATATTAAATTATTTAGGAAAAGAATCATTTCTTTTTTTTTTTTTAACAGGACGGGAGCATACAGCGCAGTTGCTTCCTAAGCAATTTTGAAAAATAATATGACCGCAACGGCTTAAATGCAGTTGCAACGTACCTTCATATTTTCCAAAACATTTGTTACAAGAAAACGCCTATAGAATTGTTTGGCAAGAACAAAGAAACCATTCGACAATTTACGGCTGAACGCTTCTTAAGCAATAGAAATGGAGGAGTATTACCGTTATGTCAATTACATGGTTGAAAGTTTTTGGTGCAATGAATTTATAAACTAAGCACCAGATTAGATTATTTGCTTTAGTATGTACAAAGGTGAGTGTGTATGTTAATACATGTTCATTTCTCATTTGAGAAAATCTCCCCCTAATGCATGGCGCATTAGGTTTGATTAGGCGCACATCACTAGGTATATGCTCCTTGCTTGATCTCACTGTTGAAATTAATATTATATCGCGTTCGTAAAAAAAATCAAGGGAAACTAACACTAATACTAATTCCAACATTAGTGTAATTTTACGAAAGTTATACCTCTCCTTGGAACTCCTCTACAGTACCAATTTTAGGCATTGCTACGTCGGCATCAAAAAAAAGTTCGCGCAAATGTTCAACTTGTTTTATGTACGGTGTTATGCCAATGGGTTGCGGTTTACGATACAAGTCCTACG